TCATGCCTCAGCCTCCCAAGTAGCTGGGATTGTAGGCGTGCACCACCACGCCCAGATAATTTTTGTATTTTTAGTAGAGACAGGGTTTCCCCATGTTGGCCAGGTTAGTCTCAAACTCCTGACCTCAGAAGATCCACTCGTCTCAGCCTCCCAAAGTGCTGGGATTACAGGCGTGAGCCACCACGCCAGCCTGCTATTTTTATTTTCATTATTAAAAAGATGAGTCTGGGGAGCTAAGCTGTGAGGACGCAAAGGCATAAAAATGATATAATGGACTCTGGGGTGAGGGATAAAAGACTACACATTGGGTATAATGTCCACTGCTTGGGTGACGGATGCACCAAAATCTCAGAAATCACCACTGAAGAACTTATCCATGTAACCAAACTCTACCTGTTCCCCCAAAACTATTCAAATAACAATAAAAAGAAATTTAGATTCAGTAAATTGACTATAGTCACCTAAAGAATCAACAGAAGAGCTTGAACATGAATCCTCTGTGACTCTATGCTATGACATATGGGTGCCATGTATGTTAACAACATGGACAAACCTGATGGCTGAATTTTCCTGGGGGAAGTTATCTGTAGAATGCATGATAAATGCATTAAAAACATCTGCAGTTTCCTCGGGGACATAAGAAAAAGAAAGAGTGTGGCAGCCAAATATAGGATAAATATGGGAGAAGACCAAAGGCAGAGTGTCTCAGGAAGTGCTGTTGCTGCAGATTTGGACTTCATGGGGAGGGATCGTGGGAGTGGAAGGTGAGGGCTGGCTTGTTGGACCCAGAGGACAAGTCCACCGGGCAGTATATCTGAGGTGCTTGTTAAACACAGACCTGGACCGAGGTCTGGGTGTGGCCCTGGAATCTGCTTTAATAAGTATTTCAGCTGTGCTGGTGGTGGGGCGTTGTCAGGGTCTTTGAGAAAAGGTGTGATGAGGCTTAGGGACTGATGTGTGTGGGAGACCCGAGAGGAGAGGAGTCAGCAGTAGTTTCTTTTTTTTTTTTTTTTTTTTTGAGATGGAGTCTCACTCTGCCGCCCAGGCTGGAGTGCAGTGGCCGAATCTCAGCTCACTGCAAGCTCCGCCTCCCGGGTTTACGCCATTCTCCTGCCT